CCAATTCACAAGACGTCATCTCAAGGCACTTTACAGTTCACCAGATCACCCAGTCAAATTGATTAAAAGTTTTCTATCTAAGGAAAACCAGTTAATTGCATCGACTCACTGACTCGAAGGCAATCACTCACACTAAGCATGCTTGTAGCGATAGTGGAGAGGAAAAACTCCCTTTTAACGGGAAGAAACCTCCAGCAGAACCATAAATAAAAAAAAGCAACTGTAAAAAGTGTTGATGGAAGCAGCACAGCTGATATTTCTCTCCAGGATGGAGTCACATCCAAACAGGAACAGACGAGGCGAAGCTAATAGGAGAAAAAGCAGAGAGAGCAGAACGTTAGAGATTGAAATATCAGATTCTGCAGAATGGGAGAATAGAGATAGAATGAAGCAGAATGATGAAATAGGGGTCCCTATGTCCTCTAGCAGTCTAAGCCTATAGCGGCATAACTATAGAGATAGCTCAGGATAACCTGAGCCACTCTAACTATAGGTGCACACTTCAGTGGGGGGTTAGGAGACAAATGTTTCTCCAGGAAACCGTTACTGGAAAACCTGAAAAAAATCCCAGCTGAATTAGAGAAGCTAAAAATGCTAAGTAAATCGTGCTGTTACACTGAGCTTTTATAGTTTGTCAAATTCTTGTGATAATCAGATTATTAAATTAATAAGAATTGAAGTGAATGTTTTAGTTGACAATATTCATTGTAGAAGCCTAAGACTAGTGCAGTGTCAATAACAACATGTTCTGTTTAATTTAGAAAGAATTTGCATCTCTCTGACTGGGTATTCCAGAGTTTAAAATATACATTTCTTAAAGAACATCAGATTAAATATCTGTTTTCACAGCAGAAATGGTGACAAACTAAGCTTACAATTGGTAGAGGAGGTTAGACCAGACAGGGTGGTGGTCTGTACAGATTCCATAGCAGTTTTAGAAAGTATTCAGGGAGAAGGAAATGATAGAAAAGATTTAGAATTAGAAATCCAGCACAGTCTATTTGCATTATATAGGGGTGGCATTGATATTTGGTTATGTTGGGTTCCAGCACATGAAGGTGTAAACAGCAATGAAAAGGCAGATATATTGGCAAAAATGGCTTTAGAGGGAAAATAACCATTACATTTCCTTTTGGGAAAGGGGAAGGGAAATCACTTATGAGTTAAGAAATGGAAAAATGGCAAAAGAGGTGGAAGGAAGATAAGAAAGGAGGATTATTTAAGGTACAAAAATCTTATTAAATAGAATAGTTAATGAGAGAAACAAAAGGGAAGAAGTAATAATGATCAGATTAAGAGTGGGTCATACCTATTTAAATGACAATTTATATTTAATAGGTAGGAAAAATAATGATACATGTGGAGAAAAAGAAAATGTAGAACACGTACTGAGGATCTCTAAAACTTATGAAAATGACAGGGAGAAATTGAGACGGATGGTTGGAAGGACAGGCAAAGAATGGAGTCTTGAGGGAATATTGGGAAATAAAGGAAATATAAAGGATATTCACAGATTTAGGAAAGCATTATTTATTTATCTACAGAATACAAAATAAAAAAAATAGAACTGGATGTAATGTTGCTACAAACTCATGTACAGTAGGTGGCGGTATGCACCTTAAAGTTGCTTGCAATCTGCCATAACAGAAAAAGAAGAAGAGGAAGGATAGAGCAATAACGAGATTAAGATTTGGGCATACAGGACGTATTTATACACTTTTCAAAATTCAAAAGCACACTACTGGCAAATGTAAATACTGTGGAAAATATGAAACTATAGAACATGTTATACTGGAACGTCATATTTCCTATGTTTATTAGATAGTCCATCATGAACCACACTCCATACAAGTAAGTGGCGGTAATGCTACTAAATGTTTGTTGCCAACCGCCAATAAATCAAAGAAGAAGAAGACTGGGAGGAATCATCAGTGGCTTTTACTTTGAAGGGCAGCCTTTTATTTTGAAGGGCAGCCTGTCAGGGCGAAGGGCGGATGCTGCTGGGAGTCTGGAGCTTCACGCTGAGAGGAAAGGGATCCGCTAGGGAGCCGCAGATCATCGGCAGGACTCTTCTCTCTGCTGTCTAGCAGTGTCAGTGATGGCATATGTCTGCTCGGGTATGTAGTTTTGCTGCTTATTCGTGTATTTTGTTGTCAGGTGATAAATAGGCCAGAAACGAGGCTCCTCCAGTGTTTGCAGGGTAAATTAGCTGGCTAGCCCCGCTTCCCCTCACTAACAGCTAATATGCTCCCCCTCCCCATTCCCAAACATTAGCTGCTTTAATATTTAAACTAACTAACGCCTGTGTGTCTCCTCTCAGATCCCATGCCTGACTGGATTTAAAGCAACACGAAATATGAACCGAAGAAGAAAATAAACTCAGCAGAGGAGGCTGGTTTCCTGTGGGAATCTGTTCAGCCTTCCTTTTTTTGTCCTTTTTTGTTTTTTTAACTGGAGGACATGTCACTTTGGAGCAAAGCAGTAAAGGGCTAGCTGGTTGACACCCCGGCTAGTTCTACATTTGCAGCCTTTTCAGATGATTGTCCAGCTGAGGAGCTAGTTTCCTTTGGACCTTCTTGGAGAAAGCAGTCAGCATGGGGGAGCCGAGCCTGGATGACTCCAATGTCAAGGTGGCCGTGAGAGTCCGGCCTATGAACAGGAGAGGTGAGAGGGTCACTAGATATGGAAAAGAAACCCTGCACACACATCTGTCTGCACACTGCTGTGCAAAAGATGGTCCACATCAAGCAATGCATTACCCTTAAAGTCGCAGGGAAGTCATGTTTAAATCACTCTGGGTTAAACATGTATGTAAATGTACTCTTTATCAGATGATATTGTCCCAACATTTCTATTTAAAAAAAAAAAACATAAAATCCTGTCTTAAAATTATCTTATCCAGGCCAGTTAGTTATACGTCAGCCTGAACACATAAATTCAGCCAATCATATATCAACGATCATCTGACAATCAAATTTTTTGGTCATAGCATCTTGATTCATGTTGCAGCTAATATACGCAACGGTTGAAATCAGAATCATTTCCTTTCCCATTGAGTTCCATCCCAGTGTTCACGGGGATGGACGTCTGTGTCTTCAGCAGGCATAGAGCTAACAGAACTGCCAGCTGTTGCGAGGCAAGGGCTCAAACATGTACGGCTGTAAGCCTTCTACACCAAACCAAGCTTCTGCCGCCCTGGCGTCCTCTTCTAAAACATCTTCACCCCCGCTTTCCTCTTCTAAATAAAAAATGTATGATGGAGGAGACTCATCCACGACCTCCGACACTAAACTCTCCTCCTCTTGCATGTTTCCTCTGTCCATAGCATTCCTTGACAGTGTCGTTTCTAAGTCACCAATTTATTGCTACTTAGTCCCAATGGAATTTCCCATTGGGAACCTACTAGCACTAAGTTGCTAACTGGTTAGCAAGATGCTTCCGACAAACCAGCCACAAACAAAAGTGCTTGCAAACCTTCCGCCACAAGAACCGCGCCCACTTGATAAAGAACCAATCAGATTCACTTTATACACTCGTGTAAAGTCGTGCACCACTCGGGAGAATTTCTGGAGAAACAGTTGGAACAGCCACTTCCTTACGACTTTGATACATTGTAATAAAAGTATTGTAATTACTTATAAAATCAAAATATCATAGTATTATGTAGCAAAATATAGAACACTAAAATAACATTATAGGTCTGTAAGCGACCCCAGTCGGCCTCAGCAGATAGCCGCTCACACTGAGCCTGGTTCTGCTTTAGGTTTCTCCCTGTTTATAGGGAGTTTTTCCTCTCCACTGTCGCTACAAGCATGCTTAGTGTGAGGGATTGCATTGGAGTCAGTGAGTCGATGCTATCAGCTGGTTTTCCTTAGATAGAAAACTTTGAATTAATCTGACTGGATGATCTGTTGAAGTGTAAAGTGCCTTTAGATTACACGTGTTTTGAATTGGAGCTATAGAAATAAACTGAATTGAACTGAATTAAGCAATGTATAATCTGGAGCGTATCATAGGTTGATGCAGGCTGGATTGTGGTATTTTTTTAGAAAGTTTGCTGCAGGTGATGGAGTGTGAAAATGTCCAGAGGTCTGTCTGTATGCAGAAGCTCAGAAGTAGGTTGTTGACAAAATAAAGGGAGACTAGAATTCCCTTCCTAGGTCCCATCACTGTCATCTGCAGGACTTCCCTTTGCAAGGCTCCAGCCGGTTCAGGATAACTAGGGAGTGGTGTGTTTGTTTCATAATCCTGCTGATCTTACACATCAAGTTAATCAGAGATCTGAGCTCAAAGATATTTCCAATTTTGGTTGTGACTTCCTGGAAGTTCCTCATCTGCTTAGTTCTGTCAGTGTTGATCAACAGCTTTTGTTTTAGTTTTTTTTTTGTCTGAGAATTCTGGTTTTTTGATTTCCTTTGCCTGTGAGGTCAGGTTTGTAAATACATTTGGTAAAAAACCCTGATTAAGCTTTACCGCCATCAAACAGCATCTTCCTGATACTGGCCTGTCTTAAGTTGTCTTCCCTTTAATTTCCTGGAAATGAGAGAGCGCTCAGAAATCATTAGCCATTAGTGAAATGAGATGCTGTAGATATAAAAAAAAGGCTTTAGCCTTGCTGGTCTGGATGGCACATGTTTATACAGTCCTACCACAGCGCTTCCCTTATGGATGCCTGCCACCCAACCAGATTTAAAGCCAAGCGTCTGTGTGAGATCCGCTGTTGGAGGGACTGAATGCTTTGTCTGGGTTGCTGTTTAATCGAGATGCCGATAGCTTCTTTATTTTATTTATGGCCCACTGGATGCAACAGCAGAGTCAGTAGTTTGATAGCAGCTTCTCCAGCTTATCATTAACAGTCAATCTGACAGACGTCTTACCTTCGAAGCATCACTGTGCCATCTTGACAGTCTTAATTGATTTTAGAAACATTCCCAAATGGCACTAAGACTCCCAGGGCTGCACACTGTCACTGTCATTACATCCTTGTGTCTAATTTCAGGAAAGCCTGGATAACAAAGGCACAGTGTCGCACAAGTCTTCCTTCACGCTCCAGCGGTTCACGCAATTATATAGCAGATTTCCAGCAGGAAAAGAAGACACAGATGACATTTCCTGGTTGTTTGCCAAGTTGGGTTTGCTTCGTGGGATAGCATGTGTCCAGTGAAAGGAGGAGGTGGTGAAAAGCAGCAGAGGCAGAGCGGCTGACGGATTACTAGCAGAATGAATCAGATGTACCCCCCCCTCTTCTCTTGCTAGCTATGTTTCCACACTTTGAGCTGGAGATGTTAGTCACGAGACTGAGGCTGTGGAGCATCACACTGTTCTCATTGGCTGGGGGGTACAAGCCGTACAAAACTCTGATTTACTTTATTTCAGTTTGTTTATATAATGCAAATGAAACAACACATCATTTCAGGCACCGTATAGAGATAGTTTAGTCAGATCATACATTCAGATTGGTTCTGAGTTTGCTATCTAAGGAAAACCAGGTGATGCATTGAGTTATTGACTTGACAGCAGACCCTCAAACCGATTATACTTGTACCAACAGTGGAGAGGAAAAACTCCCTTTTACCTCCAGTAGAACCAGGCTCAGTGGCTGACTGTTGACTGAGGGTTCTAAGAGATAATCAGAGATGCAAAATGAATGTAGAAACACTGATCTTTAAATAATTTTTATGTTTGAAAACATGAAAATACAGCTTCTGAGATGGCCCTATCTAGAAAAGAAACAATAAAACAGATCAGTCCTAAGCCAGTTTTCATCTCAAAGGGATGAAAGAGAGTGCATACAGTAAGGCTACGTTCACACTGCAGGCCTTAATGCTCAATTCCAATTTTGTTGTGAGATCCGATTTTTTTGCATTGCCGTTCATATTTACAAATAAATGTGACTTGTATATGATCTCCTGTGTGAACTGCAGTCATACAACGCTAGTGTCCCACATGCGCAGTAGAGGACGCAATGACGTCACAGGCCAGCGTGCTCCAGGTTTACGGAAGTAAACATGGATGGTGGTGCCGGCGTGCATCTAGCGATCTTTTCCAACCATGAAAACTCAATCTTTTCAATATGTTTAAACATAAATACTGCTCTCTGCATCATCATCTGCCATGGTTGTTGTTTTTCTTGCCGCTTCTGAGTAGCAAGATGCAGAATAGTGACCTTTGTCGGGTATTAATGACGTTCGGGTCGGATGAATCCATCCTGGCCGCTCAGACACAGGTCGCATTTGAAAAGATCAGATTCGTATCGGATTCAGGACCACATAGCCAAGCGGCCTGGGTCGCATTGGAAAAAAACGGATCCATGTTGTTCAGACAGCCATGAAAAGATCAGATCCAGGTCGCATATAGGCAAAAAAATTGGGTTTGAGTCACTTCAGGCTGCAGTGTGAACGTAGCCCATGTCACAGAAAAAGCTGAGTCCATAGCTAGGTCTAAAAGAGAAACAAGACCAAGAGCTAAAAAACAGGCCAAACACTATAATCTATAACTGAAAGTGTTGTCAGCAAGATCCCAGCAGATATTTCTCCCACGGGATCATCTCATACCCCAACAGGAACAGACCAGAGGAAGCTACTATAACTAGATAAAGCAGGGAGGACATAAAGTCAGAGGTTGAATTAAAATGTACTGCAGAATGGCACAATAGAGATTATAGCAGAATGATGAAAAGTGGTCCCTATGTCCTCCAGCAGTCTAAGCCTATAGCAGCATAACTATAGAGATAGCTCTGGATAACCTGAGCCACTCTAACTATAAGCTTTATCAAAAAGGAAAGTTTTAAAGTGTTTAAAGGATCTCTGCCTCATGGACTAAAACTGGAAAGTGGTTCCACAGCAGAGGAGCCTGATAACTAAAAGATCCCATTCTACTTTTAGAAATTCTAGGAACCATTAATGAACCTGCAGACTGAGAGCAGAGCACTTATTTAGGAACATAAGGGTTGATTAGATCATTGATATACTGTAAGATGGAGCCTGGTTATTTATGGGTCTCTTTTAAAAAAATAGGATTCTTAGGGTTTCTAAATTCTATCTACTTTTTCTACTTTCTACTTTTTTTTTTACACTGGTTGTTTTTTTATTTAAAAGTTTTTTGTTTTGTTTTTTGCAGGGGGATGCAGAGTAACTAATTATACAGTAGAAAGTAAAAGTAGTGCATAATGGAAGTAGAAAAAAAATGGATAAACCGTTTCTAACCTGTTTTATAAAGTCTGAAATGGTGTGTTGTGTTTGTATTCAACTCCTTATCGCCAGGTGAACTCCAGTGATTAAAAATGGCCCTCAGCAATCACCTGGTGATAAAACAGAGTCCATCTGGGTGCATTTTATCAGGAAATGTAAAGAGTACCGTAGAATCTGGCCATGCACCTAAAGTATTGATCAGAGAAACAGCCTAGTGACACTTTATAACTCTGGAGGAGCTGCAGAGGCTGACGGGTGCAGCACTGATCTAGAACACTATCCCCACAGAGAAACATGATGCGTGGTGTTATCATGCAGTGAGGAAGTATTCTTCAGCATTGTACGGGGATCTGGTTGGAAGATGGAGCCGAATACAGGATCATTTTATTAAAAAATAAAACGGTTTATTTTCCTTCCACCGCACTAAAGTTTTATTGCGGTTGTTGCTTCACAGTATGACAGAACGATAGGGGG